CTATAGAACGAATCTATTATTAAGGTATATATATTTAGATAGCGAGGTATACTATTCTTATATATAATTACTATTAGACTATCCTTATCTACTAAATTAATTATACTAAAATATATTTCTAATACTTTCTCTCTTATAATAATTATACCTAAGCTTACCTATTTTAGATTAGGTTATATTAGCTAACCTACTATAGAGATTAACTACTATCGAATTAGTAAGGAAGTAGAAAGCGACTACTAATTTAATTACGAAGCCTACTAACTTACTAAGTTAAAGAAGATTATCTTATATATCCCTTAGAAGCGTACGACTAAACTATTTAAATTTATTTACCTTAATATTTAACTATATAAACCGATAGGAATTAACGGTATCGACTATATAGTAGTAGTATATAACGATATAACTCGTAGACGTTAGTTAATTCCTATTAGGGTAAAGAGCGATACTTCCGACGTTTTAACTAATTAAGTAACTTAGATCTATAACGTTACCTATTACTAGCTAATTAAAATTGATACGGATAGCGACCGAGGTTTTCTACGCTTTATTAAGTAGATTAAGGTAAAGGGTACCCTCGTTATAATTTCACTACCCGCGACGTATAAATAAAACGGTATAGCCGAATCCTTAGGTTATATTATAATTTAGGGTACGAGGACTTTAATAATTTTAGTACCCGAAGCGTCTGCCTTTCTCTAGCTAAAAACTATAATAGTAATAGTTTACGTTTTAAATCGAATTCGACGACCTAGATAAACTAAATCTCCAATAGAAAAGTGGAATAATATACTAGATCTTCGTAAGGCTAGTCTAATTAACCTAGGTTTCCTACGAGTATAGTACTCTAAAGCCTATATATATATACCTAAAGAGTAAAGGGTATAAGGTAAAAAGATAGTACCTCGCGTATAGATTAGTTACCTCGTAGGATACGAGGGTAATAATAGCTATATCTATAGAATCTATAATCCTTCGAAGAAATAAGTCGTCCTTCGCCGTGACGTTATATTTTAGGAGGAACCGTTACTAATACGCTATTTACTAAAACTTATTAAACCACTAATTATAGAAGAGATCTATAAACCTCGCGAACGCTATTAATTAATAATTTAGAGAACTAAGGAAGACTAATAATATTTAAATATACCTAATAAAGTTATTTTAGAAGTAATAGTACTAGAGGTTATAGTATATAAGGAAGTTTTACTAAATATACCGATTATCACTAGAGAACTAAATCTAATTTAATAAAATTAGACGACGGTAATACTAAACCTAGCCGAATTACTATAACTAATAGTACTAAAATAAGGGAAATCAAAAGCTTTACTACTTTAGAAGATTATATATCTAATTATATTACTAAGGGTAAGGTTATATAGCCTAATTCTCTACTTTAAGATTTAAAATCTTCTTAATCTTGTTTCTCTAAAAATTAAAATATATTAGATATCTCTATTATACCCGAATATCTACCTTTATAAAGGATTCTACTAGTTCCGCGACCTTAATTAGCACTAATTTAACTATATACGCTTCGAGGATTATCACTAAATACGCTAGCGAAAAGATTATTTAGAAGTGTAGTAGGTTCACTAGACCCGGATGTACTAATTCCTAGTATTAAGGATTTTTCCCGACCGTTATTAGTTATACTAAGTAGACTACCCGAAACACTAATTTAACTACTATATACGCTAGGTACTTTTCTAAGAAGTTCTTCTATACTAATCTATCGTCCTTTTATTCGAGAAGAATCTTCGATAGACCTAATTATCATTATATAATCTTCTCCTTAATAAGCGGTGTAACGTTCGATTTCTTCTACGAATCTAGTTAAGTAGACTACCTCTCTAGACCCTATTTAATCTACCTAACCCTTAGAACCAACTCAACCTACCCAGTAACAACCTTACCCGAGATAGTCCGTAAGAGAGAGAAAACTAGTTGATTTAGGTCCTAGTATAGTAAGGTATCCTACAAAAGGTCTAATAGTCCTAGATCCTTTAATAATTACGATTAAGGACGGTGTTATTAGTGAAGGGATAGTATATAGTACGACCGAGAATATTCGTACGGGTATAGTTAAGATCCCTAATACTTATATCGAAGCAATAAGATCCGATTTTACAGACTACTAGTTATAAGCTAAAAAGGTCTAATTAGAAAAGATTGCTGCTTCTAATATAATAGTTCTTGTTCCTTATCGACTAAAGGGTACGTCTATCCTACTAGGTAAGTAGATATACGATATAAAATCTAATAACGATAGGTATATTTTAGAATTTCGTGTAAGATAGGTAGTATATAGTAATCGCTAGGTATCCGGAATTAATTTTTAACTAGATAAGAGATTTATACCTATTATTTCTAATATAGTAGCTAAATTATTTCTTATATTAGCTACTATTTAACGTTAGACCGTCGAGTAATAGGATATAGTAGGCGTATATCTTAATATAGTACTTAATAATAGGATTATCTTTATAAAATAATCTACTAGTCACGAATACTATAGTCCTAATAGTATCGAGAGAGTTATACTATTATAATAAGCTTTATATAGACTTCGCTAGGTAGGGCACCTTTAGTATAACGTTTTTATAGAAGATTTAAGAGATCTAGGTCTTATTCCCTTAATAATAGAACTATATATCTACACTAATCACGATAAAACTATCTTTATCTTAATCTACGTAGAGGATATACTCTCTATAGGAATTAATAGTGAAATATATCGTGTACGTGAAGGTATAGTATATAAAAGGAAGCTTAAAATATTACCTTTTAAAAGATTTCTTGGATATAATATCTTTTATAAGAGAGATGAAGGTATTATATTTATAAACTAGTAAGTTTATCTCTCTAATTTAATCTCTAGCGAAGGTTTTACTAATTACTCGCCTTCTCTAATTCCGATAGACCCCTCTTAGAAAACTACCGACGATAATACTAACGATAGTACTAATAAGCTAGATTACGTAAGAAAGATAGGTAAAGTTAGTTAGCTATCTATTAAAATACGACCTAATATCGCTATAACTATCTCTAAATTATAACGACGGCCCGGTTCCTCACGAAAAGAAGATATCTATATATATAAAGATCTTCTCCGCTACCTCTCTATAATAATTAACCTTAGTATCCTATTTAGAAGAGATCCTACTAAAGGTCTTGAAGGTTTTATTAATTCCTTATACGCCGATACCGAATATAGAAAATCCACTGAAGGATATATTTAGTTCTTTACGGGCGTACTAATTATATAGTTATCTCGAAGATAAGATATTATTACTACTTCTTTAACTATAGCGGAATACTATATATTAAGCACTACTATTAAAGATAGTCTTCTACTAGCAAAATTAGCGAGCGAATTAATACTAATACCCTTATTAACCGAGGATGATTCGAATACCCCTTTACTATTATATTACGATTCGGATAACGCTATTAAAACTATTATAATAGTAAACTTAGTAATAAAGTGTTATAGATTAGTATAAGATACTATTTAGTACGCGACCTAGTTAAACGAAACTAAATTGTATTAATTAATATTACTAGTAAAGATAATCCTATAGATATTTTAACGAAATCTAGACCGCGAGAGGTTTTCTAAGCTGACCGAGAGAGATTATTAATAATGAGAAGACCTCCGAGTTAATTTCTACTAGAAGTATATTTTATATTAAATTAAGATTATAGTATATTTCCTTCTAATAAGATTAATAATTTTTATAACCTTATTTAAATACGTTCTATCCTTAATATATATAGAAAGATATATTTTTCTACACTCTTTATACTTATATTATTATTATTTAATTATTACTAAAGACTAATTTATTATAAGTATATTTATAGATTTTATAATCTCGCTAAATTACGATTTTTAAGTTAATATATCTAACTAAATTAATGTTTTTGATAACCTTCCTATCTTATTTCCTACTATTGTTATATATTAAGAGATATAGTTCCTCGTACTATTTTACTTTATATTATTATTACTAAGATTACATTTATAATTAGCTTATACGAGATTGATTTTGATATTTTTTAGCTTAGTCCTACGGGGGATATAATAACTCGACCCTATTAACCTCGACTACTCGGTCGTTTAGTTATACGTCCTCCCGTTTATACCTATATAGATTACTCTATAGGTTTAATGGTTCTTTCTAGGACTAGCGCTTCTTTATCTTATAGACCTATTTAGGTCTTTCTCTTCTTCCTTTTCTTCTTCTTCTCTAGATCTATCTTTATTATAGTCTAGATAGAGATATTGATTTAGATCTCCTTTTCCTGCTTCCTTGCGCTGGTGTGTGATACTATCATAACCTTATCTAAAATAGGTAAGCTTAGGTATAATTATTATAAGAGAGAAAGTATTAGAAATATATTTTAGTATAATTAATTTAGTAGATAAGGATAGTTAAATAGTAATTATATATAAGAATAGTATACCTCGCTATCTAAATATATATACCTTAATAGTAGATTCGTTCTATAGATTAATTATTAAATTTAACTAATCCTTTTAGCCTATTATATTATTATAGTAGATTCTTATAGTTAATAATAAATTAAGAGAGCCTTGTAGAACGTATTTATATTAAATATCTAAATCTATATAGTTAGGAAAAACTAAAGTAATCCTTATAATTACTCTATCTTTAGTAATTAAAGTTCTTTCCTTAGAGGTTTAATATTAGTAACCTTTATTAGATTTATAAGGTTTGAAATAGATAATTATATTGCTATTAATATAATTAGAACGGGATATACGGAGGTCCATCCCAAAAGAAATGAGCAGCGCATTGACCACCTCTTCTCTATAATACTGTATTGATCTGTTTTCTACCTTACACATCCACCCAATCACCCTCTTCCTTCTTCTCTCTACCCTCTCTATATTCGTTTCCTCCTTCAAGCTCTATAATCTGCTTAATATGCCAAGGTATACGTTCAATCCAATGCTGGATCTTCTCCTACGGTAGGTCTTGCCAAGCTACCTGCCAAGCAGCAAATGCTTCCTGTCGCGTCTTCGGTGCACCCTTACGGGTAGTTCTTCGCTTCATCCAAGGCCATGCAGGCTCAATTGCATTAAGATCTGGCGAATTAGGGCACCAGAGTAATCTTTGTACCTTCGCTGCGTCAAAAACACGCTGTTGAATATAATGATTGTGCGCTGGCGCTTTGTCTTCTTGAACAAGCGTTGCTGGTCGTTGAATAGCACATTCTTGCGCAAAAGGAAGTAGTTTTGGTAGTAGAATAAGATGTTGATATCGATACCAATCGATTCCACCCTTCTTCCCACGACCTAATTTACCAGTCTTTGCGGTAAACTTCCATGTAGGTTTTCTACCACCAAGGTTTTGACGCATATTAAGACGGCGTAGACCTGTCTCAATCTCCCATGAAGTGCGTAGAGTAGGTTCAATTTCCTTATTTAACCGCTCAACTTCTTTCTCAGCATCACGTTTTTCCTTACCAGTTTCAGGAAGCGAACAGTGACAGGGTCCTTTCTTATCATAAGAAAAGCACCCCCAAAACATAAATTCAGAGGCTCCTTTCCAGCGTTCGCAAATACAAGATCGAAGAAAGCGTTCATCTTTAGTTCGCCAGATTCGATAACCGCCACGTCGGTGTAGAAGAATCACTGACGTTTCATCAGAGAAGATAACGTTTTTCCAATCTTCTTTAGTCCAGTGTTCATGCGCAAGGCACCAAGCAAGACGTTCAGCACGCATCTTCTTCGTCAATCCAGGCTTTCTCGTCGGCTTCGTCTTCCGAAAGCCGGCGTTCTCTAGTATACGATGAATCGTTGTACCAGAGATATTGATGCCTAGCTTGCTAAGATCACCAGCTAGATCAGCGCAGGTCTTCTCTCGGCCATATCGATCTAGTCGCACCTTTGATAGGACAATTTCAACTGTAGTAGGATCATGCTTGGTAGGCCTACCAGAGCCAGGTTTATCCTCAACGTACTGGTTATCAATCATCGTGCGGTGTGGATCGAATCCTCGCTTAATTGCTTCTCCATAGATTCGATTAACAGAGGGAACAGATAGATCTGTTAGGGCAGCAATCTCAGCAGAAGATTTAGGGGTATAAGCTTTCAAAGCAACTACTGTTGCGCGCCTAGCGATAGTGGATTGCTTTGCCATCTTGCTGTTGAGATAGAATAGAAGCAGATAGTTAAGATGATAGAAAAGGTAGGGGAATATGTGCGTATTCGCTTGGTAAGAAACTAGTGGTAAGATTTAGGTGGTCAATGCGCTGCTCATTTCTTTTGGGATGGACCTCTGTACTAGAATTAACTATCTATTTACTAGTAGACCTTATAACGGTAGAAAGAGAAGTAGGAATAGATAATCTTTAGTTAACTTTATAAGTATATAAGATAGAAGGTTCTACTCTATTACTATTAAAATCGTGGTTATTCCCTATAGGAGATAGATTAATAACTACTCGTTAGTTTTAACTATTATAGTCGTAAAGTAATCTCTTACTAAATTAAAATTAGAATTAAGAGATTTAATTAATAAAGTTATATAACTATTAGGGTAGTAATTAGCGACTTCTTAAATAGTAGTAAAAGATAAATCCTATTATATTAGTTTTTAGCTAATTACCGATTAAGGTCCTCGACCTATAATAGTTATATAGGACTTAATTATAGTTAAAGAACTAATAAGAACTTATTTTAAAGATAAAGAAGGAGTAGAAGGTAGAGTACCTCGTAAGTCATAATTTAGAATAAGTAGTACTTCCTATAGTTATATACTATCTTTATAAATATAATTATTAAAGTTCTAATTCACTAGTTTCGGTCCTTTTAGATTATCCCTATTTCTCTATAGGGAAGTATACTAAAGACCCCTGATAGGTCTCTAAGTAGGAGGATATTTCTCGTAATATAAATAGTAATAATCTTTTATACTATAACTAGGTTTACTATAAAATATATAATAGCCCTAGAGAATAGTTTAGTTTAGACCTTCTCGTTAATTAGCTATCTACTTAGTAGCTATTCCTAGAGGACCCTTTAGTAGTCTATTCTTTAAGGGCTAGAAATCGCTATTATTATTACTACTATTATTAGTCCCTTTAAAGTTATTTAAGATTATTATAGTAGTATAAAGGGTTTAAACCGTTTCAAATTCGGTAGTAAGATCTCTATAAAGCTTATAGAACTTACTAATATCGAAGTCTTTATTAGTAGCGTAGTTCTTATTAAATAAAGAGTATCTAGAAGTAACTATTATAGGATTATCCTCTTAAATCTTATATAAGAGGACTTAGCGAGAGAGAAGGAGATTAATTTTAATCCTTTTAGATACTTTAGTAATTATATCCCTAAATATATTAACGAATTCTATACCTAAAGTATATTACGAATAATAAAGAGTCTACTAAGTAATATAATCTTTATTTATTATATTATGATGACTCGACCCTATTGACCTCGACTACTCGGTCGTTTGGTCATGCGTCCTCCCGTTTACACCTGCATAGATTGCTCTGCAGGTTTGATGGTTCTTTCCAGGACCAGCGCTTCTTTGTCTTGTAGACCTATTTAGGTCTTTCTCTTCTTCCTTTCCTTCTTCTTCTCTAGATCCATCTTCATCATAGTCTAGATAGAGACACTGACTCAGATCTCCTTTTCCTGCTTCCTTGCGCTGGTGTGTGACACCATCAGCTAATATAGCTAATAAGGATAAGATCTATCTATCCAGTATAGATAAGGACTATCTAGCTCATATAGATAGAGACTATCTATATAGTATTAATTAAACTACTAACGTAATTCCTACCTAAGTAAAATACTTAGTTAAGTAAAATACCTAATCCTACTAAAGATTTTTAAGATCGATTATCTTAACTAATACCTATTAATTTAACTAGATAATTCGATTTTTATATAAAGTAATCCTATAGCTAATTTATCTATATCTACTATAGATAGGCGGAGCCCTCCTAGCTAGTTAAATCGGCTAATTAGGTAGATTAATCTCCTTATACGATACTACCCTATTATCTTCCTCTAGCTAGTCTAGCTCTTTAACTATCTATATAGCCTCTTTAATAGTTAAATCCTCTATATAAGGTATCCTCCTAGTTAACTAATTACGCTTTTTAATTATCTTCTTATTTATAATATATAAATTCATATTATTCTCTATAAGTATTACTATATAACGCTAGCTAAAATCCCTTAATTATCTAGTCTAAGATCTCTTTAATATACTTAGAGGGCTATTTAATTACTATTTTAGTAGATCTTTTAATATAGAAGCTTACTTAAATAGCTAAGTAGCGATTTTAGGTATTTATAGTATAAATCCGCTAGATCTACTAATTAGCTAGCTACTTAGTAGTAATAGAGTATATAAAGAGATATTAAGCTTAATAAGTACTCTCTTAGGATTTAATAGTACTAGACTACTAGCTACAAAACTATTTTTAATAGTAAGATTAATTAATTAGAACACTTCTGGTTATATATACTTGATGGTGTCATCGACACCAGCGCAAGGAAGCAGAAAAGGAGGGGAATCTGAATCAAATGTCTCTATCTAGACTATGATGAAGATGGATCTAGAGAAGAAGAAGAAAAGGGAAAAGAGAACGACCTAAATAGGTCTACAAGACAAAGAATAGCGTCGGTCCTGGAAAGAACCATCAAACCTGCAGAGCAATCTATGCAGGTGTAAACGGGAGGACGCATGACCAAACGACCGAGTAGTCGAGGTCAATAGGGTCGAGTCATCAATACTAGTAATCTACTAAGAAATTATACTTATCGATATAGTTATATCCTCTACGTGTAAGATCGCTAATAAATCGACTATAATCGTGGTACTTCTCCTTCTTTATAAGACGTACGACTAATAGACTTATAACTATATATTTAGATACTATATTAAGTATTTACCTATCTTTATATATACTATCTCCTTATATATATAATCACGACTTTATAGTTACTACCTAAAGTCCGATAGTTATAAGCCCGACGCCTCTACTCTAACTATTTAACTAATTTAATTTAATCTTCTCTTACTTTACTCTCACTCTCGCTTTACTTCTTATATAGAAGCGATAGATTTAACTACTCTATAAGCTACCTAGCTTAACTACCTATTAAAATCTTATATATACTAGGTTCCCTAGATTACTACGGTTAAAGACTATATAATCGTATATAATCTATAGAAATACGCTAATCTAGACTAAGCTACTCTATCTATCCCGCCCTAAGAACTAATTAAATTATAGATCTCTAATATAATTAAAAGACCTACTAATACCTATATATCTAATCTTCCTAATCCTATATAGCTAACTAGGCTAATTAATCTCACGTCTAACTAATTAGCTATCTATAAGATACTACTAAGTAAATACGAATCGTTAAGATCGGACTATCTTTACTATCTTTAATCTATTAAATCTCTTAAGTAAGGTATTTAATCTTCTTTTATACTAGAAGGACGTTAAATTATTAATAGCCTATTAGTATACGAAGCTATAGTAAAACTACGTACTATCTTTACTCTATCTAACTAATTAAAGAATCGTTAAATCCTATATAATTAGGATAAGCTAAAACTATAAGCTCTACTAACTAAATTATTATAACTATCTATATAGGATTAAAAGTAGCTAATTAGCTAATTAGAAGGTAAGAAAGTAATAATTATCTACTTCTAAGACTATCTATCTCTAGTATATAATTTCCTAGAGATAATTTAACTTAGTAACCAAGGTTTCTATACTTTCTAGTATAATACGATCCTATAGGGTCTAAAGAGATCTATCCTAACTAAACTAGTTAATTAATTCGTCGATTAATATAGATTATCTACTACTAGTAATAATAGAAGACGATCTATTATATATACTACCTACTAAGGACGTTAATCTAATAAATTAGATAAAGAAGGACTTATATAATTAACTAAAAGAAGAAAGTACCCTTATAGGGATATACCCAACGCTAATAACTATAATTTCGAGATATATCGTTATATAAATCCTAAGATAAGACTTAGGGGATAGTAACCTAACCTAAAGATCTAAGAGCGATTTAAAAAGCGATATACTAAATCTAGAGGATTTAAGATAGCTTATTAGTATATAATTTAACGCTACTAACCGACTAATTTAACTAATTTAGCTAATTTAACTACTAGAGACGCTTTCTCTATCTATATACTAAAATAATAGATCGAGACTCTCTTTCGAGAGGAAGATAGTATTATAATAAGTATAATTAGGATTCCTACTAAGAAGAATAATACCTAGTACTATAATACTAGAGTATTAATTTATATCACGAATAATAGGGATCTACTATTAAATTATAAGCTTATTATATTCTCTATTATAGTTAGAAATACTAAAATTATTATCCTTGGTTACAGCGAACTATTTATTAAACTATTAGAATCTCTTAATAGAACTACTTTCCCTTTAAAATAAATTATCTATTATCCTAGATTCTATATTAACCTAATCTCTATAAAAAGAGCTATAAGCGTAAGTATTTATCTAAATAGTAAGGATTACTTACTAAAAGAGAAGGATAGAATATCTATCTATAAGCTTAACGCGAAGTTAGGTATCTACCTAATTTAATAGGATAACTCGGTTACTAATTAACTAATTATTACTAACTAACGTAATTCCCGGTTGTGCCGTACACCCGGTTGTGCCGTACACTTTCCCCTAGTGGAACACTTCAAATCGATTATCTCAACCAGCACCGATCAATTTAACTAGATATAGCGATTTTTACATGTATTAATCCTGTGGCTAATCTCCCTGCACCCACTACACCTAGGTAGTGCCCTCTTTGCTAGCATAATTGGTTGACTAGGCAATTCAACCTCTGTATACGAATCTACCCCATCATCTTCATCTGGCTAGTCTAGCTGCTCAGCTAGCTGTATAGCCTCTTCAATAGTTAAACCCTCTGTGCAGGGTATCCTCTTAGTTGACCGATTGCGCTTTTTGATCATCCTCTCATTCGCTATACGCAGATTCGCATTATCCTCTGCTAGTAAAGCACCGCTATGTAGCGCTAGCTGGAACCCCTTGATCATCTAGTCTAGGATCTCTTTTGATGGGCTCGGAGGGCTATTTGACCGCCGTTTTAGTA